CATTACTTTCACATCTGCTGATCTTGATACAGTTATTACACCCCACAATGATCCCTTGGTCACTTCTGTAATGATTAATAACTGTGAAGTACAGCGTGTCCTTGTTGACACCGGGAGTGCACCAGACATCATGTACTTCCACTGTTTCGAGAGTCTGGGATTAGATCCAGCATTGTTGCAGAAGTATGATGGTCCTATCTATGGTTTCAACAACCAGCCTGTTCCGGTAGAAGGAGTTCTTACCCTCCATGTGGCTTTTGGAAGTGGCAGAACCTATGTGACTCTTTCAGTCCGGTTCCTCGTAGTCAAAATGGCGTCTTCTTTCAACATTGTTATTGGTCGACCCACACTAACTGAAATCCGAGCTGTGGTTTCCCAGTCTCACCTCTGTATGAAGTTCCCAACTCCTATGGGAATAGCAACACTGCGAGGAAATCAGGAGGTGGCCAGGCATTGTTATATCACCTCGGTAACACAACCCATGAAGGGCAAAGCTCAGACACCTGAGGCCATTCCCCAGCGAATTTCTGATAATCAGCAAGTTATGGGTGTTGAGATCGTAGATAATCGACCGAAAGATGAAACCAGAGCTGCTCCGGTTGAAGATGTTGAAGAAGTGCTCATTGATGACAGAGATCCGAGCCGAAAGATGCAAATCGGAATTAGATTGAACCCAGAGGAAAGGGCAGAGCTAATAGCTTTTCTTCGAGCTAATAATGATGTATTCGCATGGACTTCGGCAGACATGCCAGGAATTCCAAATTCAGTCTCTCAACATAAGCTCAGCACCAATCCATTGAAGAAACCAGTGGCCCAGAAGCGACGTCTCTTCGGGGGTGAGAGGCTTCAAGCTATTAAAGAAGAGGTAATGAAGCTCCTACAGGTTGGTTTTATCAGGAAAGTTGATTACTGTGAATGGGTGGCTAACCTAGTTCTGGTGAAAAAGGAAAATGGCAAATGGCGAATGTGCATTGATTACACAAATCTTAACCATGCCTGCCCTAAGGATTGCTATCCAATGCCGAGCATTAACAAATTAGTTGAAGCGGCTTCAGGCAATGAGAGGTTAAGCCTCTTGGACGCATACTCGGGGTATCACCAGGTGCCAATGGCTCCAGAAGACAAAGAGAAAACCGCGTTCTATGCTGGCGATGAAATTTATTGTTATGTCATGATGACGTTCGGCTTAAAGAACGCAGGTGCTACTTACCAGAAAATGGTAACCATTGTCTTCCACGCTCAGATTGGCAAGAATCTGAAAGTATATGTCGACGATATTATGGTAAAGAGCCTAAAAGCAGAAGACCATCTCGCCGACCTCGACGAAACCTTTAACAACCTCAAAAAGAACAGGATGCGATTAAATCCAGCCAAATGCATCTTTGGAGTGGAGTCCGAAAAATTTCTAGGTTTCATGGTGTCCCAAAGGGGAATTGAGGTCAATCCAGAGAAGATCAAAGCAATTGCCGAGATGGAACCGCCGAAATCAGTGAAAGATATACAGAGGTTAACTGGAAGGGTGGTAGTTCTGCATC